AGAGCTTTGTGAGTGATTTTGGGGGAAAAAAAAAATAAGACTGCGAGGTTGGTTGGATTTGCAACCTGTGGCTCTCCTCGAGGGAGCAGGAGTAGGGGATGGCGGCGGCGGCGGCGGCCCGGGGCGGGAGAGGGTAGGGAGCTGGAGCCTTGGAGATGGGCTGCGCTCGGGGGGAGACAGCAGCGAGGGGCCACCCCACTGCCGGAGGTAGTGACCGTGGTAACTGTCTGAGAACTGCGGGTTGCGTTGCCTTTCTTATGCGGCGTTATTGAAACCCTGGCGAAAATTGGAATTAATGTGGCAATGAGTTTTAAACCTCCCCCTTAGGAAACGACACAAGCCACCGGATTTCTTTTCTTCTTTTTTTGTAAGGATAAAATGACCCCCCCGCACCCCCCCCCCCGTTGTATTCCTTCCCTCGCTATGGTTCAGACTTGGCGGAGTGGCTGGCGAAAGTCCTGACAGCTGAGTAGGGACCATGACCCCAGACGGGCGTAGAAGCTGTTACAGGGTCCCTGGCTGCCTCCGAAGGCCAGTCATCGCCCCCAGAAAAGTAATGCCTTCTTTTGTGGGTCCCCCCACCCCAATCAGTTTGTAATTTCTGGGAGGAACATCTTGTGATGCTTAAAAAAAAAAAAAAGAAAAAGTAAAGTGAGGGTCAGTAGATGCATTTTTTTTCTGTCCAGAAAAAAAAAAAAAAGTGGGGCAGGAGAGAGGGAACCAGGGAGAGAGCTGTTTAGAAATACAGTTTGTGGCTCTGAGCGATGCCACCGGCTTCCTCTACAGAGACTGACAGTTTCCCTTTTTCTTTGCAAGGTGTGTGTGGTTTTGATAAATAAATTGAGAGAGAGAGAGAGAGAGAAGAGAGAGAGAGAGAGAGACCGGCAATATCCATCAGGAGACAGGTATCTATTTTGCTCACTATTTACTACCAAGAGCCCTTGGCACTGGAACAGAACCTCGTAAATCTGCAGCCCAAGTTGAAGTTCATCTGGCCCTAGTCCACACACTATTCCTGGAGGTAACAAACATAAGCTCAAAGGAGTGAGGTGAAATCACATTCTCCCTTTAAAATATGTATTTTTGTTAAAAATTGATACTTGTCTCTGAGGGAGGAAACAAGTGGGGAAAAATCCAGGAGCTGGGCATTCCCTTTTTAAAACATTGTAGTTGAGTCTCCAAGCCAAAATAGAAACCTGGAGATGGGAAATATTCCCTCTCCCTCGTTTATAAATAGAAGTTTCCAGTCTACTATTTGGAAGACTCTCCAATACTGCAGGCAGCCTTAGCCGATTTTAAAGGAGTGTAGATAGTAACAGCAAGGCTAGATGCTTTTCACACCAACTAGGCACTCGGAGGAGGAGACAGCCAGGAAAAGCAGGGCTTCTCCGATTGTCCTTTTCCTCTCCTGGTCACTTTGGAGAGGTTTTACCCAATGCTTTCTGGAAACTACTTGTCTGGTTTCTTCAGGGTTCGGTGGACAGAGCTGGGACTCTCAACTCTTAAGTTGTCTCTTGCTGAGTCCTTGCAGGGTTCCAGTTGCTGGTTGAGTAAATGGTAGCCATGACCAGATGTCAAAATCCTTCCTTCCCTCTCTGTCCCCTGTCGGTAGCCACGCTCAACAACCTACTTTGTTGTGAAAAACTTGAGAGCCCGAGGAGGTGGTGCAGCAGCGCCACCCCTCGGTGGGTGAAACTATTGGCCAAAGTAAAATATCTGGAAAATACGGTGAAGGGACCTTATGAGGCACTTTGAAATTTTCGGGCAGATTTTTAAAGATTTAGGGGGAGCTACAGCATTTTTTGAGAGGTGCTTTGCAGTCCCCTCTCATTGCAGTCGAAAAACTTTGCTTTCCAGCTCTATCGGAATCACAATAGCCTAGTTAATCATTGGGGGTGGGGTGGGGTGGGGGGGTGTTGCTGGTGGGCTTGATTTAGGCGAGTTCTCCGGGCGGGGAGGTAGGTCCCCGTCCCCCTCTGGACGTGACCTCGCAGACCACCTGAATTTTGCTGCCCGTCTAACGTTCCGATGAGGAGGATTTTTTTTTTTAAATAATAAAATAAAACCCAAATCACCACCCCTGGTGCTGGAAGTAGTGTGATTGTGCTGGCGGCGGTGGCTGTGGGGGCGTGGGGGGCAGATCTGGAGTGGAGGACAGGCCGCTCGGCAGCCTCCTGGAGTCCGGGTAGCGTGGCGCGCGCGGGTTTCCAGCGCTGCGCAACAAGTGGGAAGCCGCCGCAGCCACCCAGCCGCGGTGCTGAGCTCTGGCTGAGCCGGCCTGTTTCTCAGTAGCTGGAGGGAAGCCAGGAACGACTCCTCCCAACGCTCCCCGCCCCCCACTCCCACCCCAGGCCGAGAGCGGCGGCCCCACCGAAGGACCACCCTCGGTCCCCCAGCCTCCCTGCCCCGCCAGTCGGGCGGGGAAGCCCAGGGTACAGGGTCCCTTCCCGCGGCGGGGGTCTGGAGTTTATCCCCCGGCGTTCTTTGCTGGGCAGACAGCGTTTTTTGCCAAGCACCTCCGCTAATGCCATTGAGTGGCGATCCAGTTTCAGGAAGACAAGTTCACCCAGTACGTTCAGCTCTTCGGAAAACAAGTCAACCTACAGTTGCGCGAAGGCAGTGCCAGCTCCCGCCATGTGGTTGCTACAGGTGTTGCGCATCGCGAAGATCGGAATTACACGCACTCCATGAAGTGTTTTCCAGCCTGGGTTTTTGGAGGCAACCACACCCCCCACTTCCAACAGAAAAAGAAAAAGTGTGCGTGGTGGCGGAGGACCGGGTGCGGATGGCTGTGGCCGCGGGCGACTTCTCCGACGGACTGAGCCCGCCATCTAGTGGTGCGTCGGGAGGTCCTCGCCTAGGGCTGGGGACAGCGACCCTTTCACCTCTGGGTCCCCCAGGAGTCCGGCGAGGTGCTCGGTCTGACAGACGGAAGGCACCAGCCTCTCCCCCAGAGGAGATGGCACTCGACCTCCAAAGTTTTGGCCAGCCGGATGGAAATGGCAAAGGCCCGGGTGCTCGGGCCCCGCCACGTTCGGTCCGCGGCGGACAATGTGTCTCCACTGAAAACCCTTAAAATAACCCGCTTGGAGCGCACCAGCTATCTGTGGCTGCGGGGCAGTCGGGAGTGAAAGGAAGCCGTCCTTCCGAGAGCTCAGGGCTTTTAGGACGTAAGCCCTTGTGTTGTTATTTTGTTTTGTTTTGTTTTGTTTTGTTTCCACTGTTGAGCAAACAGGCCTGGCAAGGGGGCCAGTGAGTGGTGAATTCGTAACCGACCCGGGACCGATTTTTAACTTCTGAATTCCAGCTTTAGTGACTTCCAGCCAAAGGCGAGTTTCTCTCAGCTCCTTTGACCTGATCTAAAGGGAAGAGAGCAGCAGCCAGAGCCGTGATTTGAACCCCTTAGGCAGCTGTGGCTGCCAGTGCACTTTGGAAGCGCTTGCCTAAGTCTCGGAGGAATTTGTGTAGGAAGCAAGGCCTAAGCTTCTCGGTAGCAGACACGAAAAGCCGACTGTGGAGCCTAGGGCTGGGGCTCGGGTTGTGCCTGTGCCAGGGGGTGCGCCAGGCCTCAGCCCGCACACCTGCGGAGGTGCGCCTCGCCGCGCCCCAGCCCGCCTTGGGATGTGGAGATCACTCTTCCCATTCCTTTCTTTGCTTAGGGGCCTGGAGAGAAAGCAGGTGTGCGCGTGTGGACGGGTGCTGTGTGTGTGTGTGGTGCGCGCGCGCGCGCGCGCGTCAAACGGACGGGCAGAGCGTAATCCTCGCAGAATTTGCGCCACGATACCTCCTGGGTCAAGTTTCTCCTTCCAGAGCCCGCGACTTAAGATGGCAAACGCGCGTCCGTGTGTTGGCGGCCCCTAGCGGCGGCCTGCGCGCTCTTCCCGCCGGAGACGCCGCCGTCTCCGCTCTCCGTCCCGGCCCGCGGGGATTCAGTTCGTCCTCCCTCTCTCCCTCTCTCTCCCTCTCTCTCTCTCTCTCTCCGCGGGAGCTGTCGCGGGCCGCGTCGGAGAAACGCGCCTCTGTTCGGGTTGGAAATGAATCTGGGGACGCGTTTGAAGCGCGGTCAAGTTTGACTCATCGTTTTCCAAGGACAGTTAGTGCCTTCCATCTTCATTAACGTGAATAAAGACCTTGGCTGACTTTTGTGCAGATCGAATTTTTAAAGGCATTGTTTGCTTGGAGAGATCATGCCTCTCCCCTCCCCCTGCAGGCTTTTTTTGGGGGGGGGGGGCGGGGAAGGGGGAGAGCGCGCAGGCCGAGCCCGGTGCAGCCAGGCCAGGACTGCCGAGAGATCTGTGCCCAGGGACCTGGTTTGTTGGTGTTGTCTGCGGGCCTTGTGGGAGGCTGTCCGGAGCCGGGCGTATGGGGAGCGTCCTTTCTGCGGCTCCTCTTCAGATCTTGGTGATAAAACACATCCCTCTATTTTATTGCATTTCCTAGAAGCTTTGCAGGCTTGCAGGAGCTGTGCTGGCAGCAAACGTGACAGAAGGGAAAGTCAGGACACAATGTCCCCGAACACCTCGGTTACCCAAAGCGGCTGCCGTGGCGTTATCAAATTCGCTTTGATCTGCTGTCTCCCCTTACCCGCTTTACCCCCTCGCCAAAGCTTGCTCTGAGTGTCCTCCCCGCCCCCCTCCCCCACCGCCGAGAGAAAACAACGTCGCGATTTGACCCCACGCCCTGCCGCCGGACCCCAGCGGCTAGACTTGAGCCACTCCTTGGCAGAGACGCTGCTGGGCGAGGGAGCGCTCGGGCAACAGTCTTGGTGCGAGTTCCACGGCGGCAGCTCTAGCCTTATTAAAATTCCTCGTTCCCGGCCCCAAACAGTGCTTTGCACTTTCAAATCCCCCCTTTGGATTTTTCAGCGAGTTATTGGAGTGATTAGATTACCAATAATCCAACGGCCAGCCAGGATGGGGGTGGGGTGGGGGTGGGGAGGGAGTGCCAGGCGTTCTCCAAATCGGGAGACTCTTGCCAAAGTAGGTCAATGGGCAGGAGGGGCGGGGCGGGCAGGGGCTCGTCGGGTTCAAGCCTGGTAGAAGGGCTCCCTCTAGCGTTGGGCAGCGGTAAAAACACCCTTAGCTGCGAGCTCCCGGAACCACGGGACTCCTCGTTTCCAATAAGGGCGCTGACTCGCTCCTAGCTCCCCGGATCCCCAGCCCCAGCCCCAGCCCGTATTAAATTCCACCTTCTCTTTCACCTTTTGGCTACCGGAAGAAGGAATGAGAAAGCCACAAAATGGGATTTTTGAGGCCCCGTGTTCTCGGGCCGACCCCGACCCCTGCCTCCGCCGTTCAGGAGGGAAGCGCGGCGCAGTGTGACGCCGGTCGCTGGTTTTAAGAGGGGGCTGCGGCCTCGGAGGCTGTCTCTGGTGCTCCCAGCTCACTCCTGGGCCCCCGAAAGCGCCTCCCCGAGACTGCTACCGAGATCACTGAGGAGATGGCGCCCAGGACGGGCACCCGAGAGCGAGGCAACTTTGGAGTGCGCCAGTGCGCGCGCTGGGGTCGGCGCCCGGGCCTCGGCCGAGTCCTAACCGTGTCTCCACGGCTGGGGAGAAACCGGACCCAGAAATCTCGCAATCTGGTTAGGTTCGGCCCGGCAACTCCCATTCTAAAGACTTTGGGCGGAGACCAAGCGGAGTTGGAGTCCCCTGCTTGCCTACGTGGCGGGAGGGTCTTTCGGTTTAGCTGGCCTCCCACTTGGTCGGGGCGCGCAGGATGGAGACCCTTTACTCGAGGGATTCTATTTCTTTGACCTTGACGTCTTACCTAACCATTCCCTTACACGGGGTGCGTGGGGTAGGAAGGGAGGGGAGAGTGGTTGGGAGCAAGCAAAAGGAGGGGAAAAACCGGTGCGCGGCGGAATGGGGCAACTCGAGCCTCAGATTGGACCCGGACTGCTGGGTTCTAGACCCCGGCTCTGCTGCTAACTTGTCTGAATCCCCCCCATTTAGAAATGGGGGGGGGTGAGGGAGGGACCGGACCAAGTGAACTCCGAGAGCCCTGGAAGCAGCTCGGGCCGAGGGATTTAGGGGAAAGAGTGCCGCGTTCCCCGCGAGCCTTCCCCGGCGCCGCCCCCCTCGCCGGGTGAATCCCCAGCGGCCCGCGCCGCGCAGGCGGCGATCCTGGCGGCCGTCGGGGGCCGGCAGCTTCCTGGAAAGTTACTTCTTGTTGGAGCCGGCGATAGGCAGAGAGTGTTCTGTGAAATCCGCAGAGCCGAGATCGACTGCGTTCCGGGAATGAGAGGGCTGTGCCATTCCCCTCACTGCCCCCTGCCTTGACGGCGTAACAGGAAAAAAAAAAAAAAAAGGCATACACACAATGTTAGCTACCGAAGTGCACCAAAAGTTTTATTTGAATGTAACTAAATTAAGGGCCGCCGCAGTGACAGCGCCGCGCCTTGCGGGGACCTCCGGGCGGCTGGGCAGCGGCAGCCGCCGGTCCCCCCGGGGGTGGGCGGTCTCTGGAGGACAGGTACGGTGCAGTGGGGGTGGGCGAGCCTGCGCAGGCTAGCCCCGGCACGCCGAGCTCGGGTGGCGCTCCGACGCGTGCGCAAGGGCAGGGGGCCGCCTGTTGTGAGCCCCGCGGCGCGGGGAGCAGACGACGGGGTCTTTCGCTCCTCTCGCTCCCTCGCCTTCCTGCTGCGTCTCTTTTTGTTGCCGTTTTCCCCTCTTTCGTTCTGCTCGGTTGGAAAAGCTGCCTTAGAGGTTCTGCCTTATCGAATAGACGGAAGGAGAGCGCCCTCGTAGGCAGCGGGGGTGGGGTGGGGTGGAGGCGGCGAAGTTTAACTCCCTCTGGGACGCTGCTGCCTCGCGGGGCTTGGGGTTCGCGCCCGAGTCGTTGTCAGTTTCTTGCTGACAGCCTTGCCGTCGTGGCGATTTGTTTTTGTGGGGTGAGTTTTGTGTGTGGAATTGGTGGTAAGGAGATTGGTCTAGGACTTGGCTGAAGACTGGCTTTGAGATCTTGGCTAAGGCTGACTCCCTCCCTGGAACCCTAGCCTCCCCCGTAGGAAGTCGCAGTTGTTATATAAGAGACCAGAAGGGGGTGGGAGAGGACTAAAGCTTCTGAAAAAAAATTAAATAAAAAGTACAGATGGTGTTTGCACACCTACAGGGGGGAGGCGACGGTGCCCGCACACACCTTAATCCAGGCACTCGGTAACTGTGGGGACACACTTGGGACCTGGGTCCCATTGTATGCAGGTTTGTTTTTTGTCCAGCCCGGGGCAGAGGCTTCAGGTGAAAAGCCCCGGTCATATCTGACACTGGGCACAGGGGAATTGTGCTGTTTGTTTCAGTTGGCAACTGGCATGAGTCATTGCCACTTGTCACGGTGAAATGGCAAATCTGGGCTTCCTGTGCTTCCAGAAGTCTGGGACTGGAAATCCACAAGTGAGCTGGTGGTTGGAGCTGGTCGAGGGGCAGGCGAGGTATTCCGAGTGTTTGAGGAGCTCTTCCAGGGGGGAAGAGGAGGCTGTTTACAAATAAACCGCACATGGTCTTCAGCGTTCTTTGATCGCCAGGGATTGACCACCAAGTGAATGAGTCCCTCTGGCCATCTAGAGCTGGGATGGGGAGAGGAGGCGCTGGGTTCTTTTTGCCTTTTTCTGCCCTCTCCCTCCCCCACCCTTCCCCCAGTCTCCCATCACTCACGTGCACACACTAACCTTGAAGCCGCAGTGAATGAGTGACTGGCAGTTGGGAGCACAGAGAAATGTTCGAGTGCTTGGTCACAGACTCAAGGAAACCTCTCATTTTAGAGTGCTCATTGGGTAAGATTCAGCTGCCTGGAAGGGGGCAAAGTGTGTGTGTGTGGGGGGGGGCTGGGGGCGAAGGAACTTAAACATGAGATTCACCCACCCCGGGGTGCTGCCTTGCATGTTCTACAGCACGTAGCTGGATTTGGAAAGGGGACAGGAATCTAAGCCAGAAGACCGAGGGCCAGGCCACCAACCATCTACGTGGCCCAACATGACCTCACTGGCCTCGGGTCCCTTTTTACCCAGAAAAGAGCTCTGAAGGGCTACACTTTTCTAAACAGGGGAAAGCATTTCAGATCTTGCTGTGTTTTGCAGCCCACATTCCATCAAAAACGAGAGGCCTACACCTGTGCTTTTAATGACTTTGTTTTAAAGGAACCAATTTGGAGAGGGTATATAATTCATGAAATCTCTTTAAGGTTTAGTGCTCCCTGGATAGTTCTGCAGCTAAACCACAGAGTTAATTCTTTCACCAGCAGGGAGAAGCGCAAGCCTGGAAGCCTTCGCACTCTGTCTGGTCTTGGGCCCAGGAGGGAGGGGAGAGGAAACTTGGAAAAATCCAGCAAAGATTCCTAAGGAATGTGTAGACACGCCGTGTCAGGTTGTCCTCTGCAGATTCTGCGTTCAGTATGACGTGATTCAGACGGTCAGGAAATACCGCCCGTCTGCTTGTCCCGATCAAACCACCGAACCCAAGTCTCGTTTCGTCACCGGTGAAATAGGGATAAAGATCATGACCCTGTAACCTTGTGGGATCACTCCATGGCCGGAAAGATAATAGTTGCGCAGGTTTTGAATAACATCCAGCACATTTTGGCCCCAAAGGATCATTATTAGTAGTATTAATGTTGAAAGAACTACTTTTCCTATTTTTGTTTCTTCCCCATAAACTCCAGTGGCCTTTGGATGGTACACAGTTTTTACTTTGGAAGGAAAATGTGTGTGTGTGTGTGTGTGTGTGTAATTAATACAGGCCATCGTATTCGCAGTACCTAGGATAAAAGCGTTGTTATCACATAACGTTGGGTGCCTGTTGTTTCCGTAAGAGCAGAACTGGAAAATGTTCGCTAGCTTGTGGTAAAACCACACCAACTGGCAGGCTGCAACTATCAAAGCAAAACTAAATGCGTGTGTCCTAAAATAAGACCATACTGGACAATCTCACACTCATTAAGTCCATTTCTGTTTGTTCTCTTCTCTTTGTAGGTTTTAAGCAAAATTTTGGACTGTGAAGCAAGGCATTGGGTGAGTCAATTAAATGATATGCTTTAAAATGTCGTGGACAAACTGTTTTGAATTTGCCAGTGTGTGTGTTTCTGTGAACTTTGTCACCATTCGTTAGATGGGACAAGTGATAACCAATTCCTCCTGTCCCACCCCTTGCTCTCACTCCTTTACCGCTGCTGTGACTGTCAGTCATTTCCTCACCCTTTTCTTAGTTCAGACTAACTTAGGTTCCCTCTGTTCGCCGGCAGTGAGCCAGTGCTGGGTTCCTGGGAGTACCAAGACTAACAACTCTTAAGCCTAAGAGTGGAGAGCATTGGATAATGGCTGGGGTAATGCAGTGAGATGCTGATGAGAGCAGCTGTGATTTGTGAGTGCTTGCTATGGGCTAGGCACACATCTCTAATTGTTATGACCACCTAGGTATTTTTGAAAACCAAAGCATAGAAACAGTAAGCAACCTGCTCCAAATCACACAACTAGCAAAAGGGCCACACTAGCTGGGTAATAGCTAAAATGTGATTTCTCTCCATTGCAACACTCTCACTGCTTCTCAGTGCCTAGCAGCATGTTTGGTGTGTTGCAAAAACACTCAACAAATAGTCCTTCCCATCCGCTTCCCCCTAAAGAGCTTTCTAGCTCAATCGTGTGATGAAGAGTGTTCACACCGTCATGCTGTGATGAAGACTAATGACAGAGATGGGACCCGAATTGCATTCCATACCTTAGCAGGTTGAGCCACCTGCTCTGCTACTTCTGGTCAACAGCAAACAGCTTCTTGAGAACTAATAGGATTTTGATTCTTTTTTTTTTTTTTTTTTTTTTGTCTCAGGTGAAGACAAAATGGCCTCGCCGGCTGACAGCTGTATCCAGTTCACCCGCCATGCCAGTGACGTTCTTCTCAACCTTAATCGCCTCCGGAGCCGTGACATCTTGACCGATGTCGTCATTGTGGTGAGCCGGGAGCAGTTTAGAGCCCACAAGACAGTCCTCATGGCCTGCAGGTGAGGAGCTCTAGAAGGAGAGGATGAGTGAAGCTGAAGGCAGACTGTGGGGCTGGAAGCCAGGCAGGTGGAACACGGAGGCCTTTTGTCCTGTCTGGGCTGGTGTCTCCCTGGTTCCCAGATCTTGGTACGTGGCCTGGCACAGTAGGCTCCCTTGGAAGTGAATGAATGAATGCCCTCTCAGGAAAGAGTCTCCATTCTGTGCGCTTAGTAGGGGGAGACATCATGCATAGCCACAAGAAAAAAAATGAGTTTGGGGCATACATGGAGACTAACTTCAGTTAAGCAGTAAAAAATGAAAAGTGAGGCTCTCTAAGTAGTTTAAGCAAGTTAATTTGAGATCTTTTGCCCTGTTATGCTGTAACTATAGTTATTTTATACTGTAATTGAACGTCCATGGATGCTCAGTGTATTTAAGAGTTAAAGTAAGCAAGCGAATTCTTCTGATTTGTCAAGTATCTAAAGCTCTTGGAACAATTTTATACCACATCTTCTCCCTGGATCTTCCTGATAGCCTTCTGAACTATGGCTAGCATGAGTGCCTCCATTTATAGATGATAAGAAAAAGGCACTGGTGGGCAAAGTGACATACATTCAGCAATCTCTATAGAGAACTTATCCAACATCGACAAGCACCTGGTTTTCCAGGGTGGAGAGATCAGAGGTTTATAGCAATATAAAGATCATAGATAATGTGTGGTGAAGGTTACACTGTGTGGGGTACCACTCTCTACCCTTTACATTGTCATTCTTACACACCTGTAAGGAAGGCACTATTATTTACCTTACTTTGCAAATAAGGAAGCCAAGGTGCAGAGAGTTATGTATCTCACTCAAGGTTGCCTGGCTGCTCGCTGGTAGAAGTCTGGCTCACTTATGCCAGCCAATCAGAAAGAATAGAATCAAGATGACAGCCCTGGATTCTGGGTTCTAGTTCAGTTCTTGTTCTGCCACCAGACAACATGGCCCTTGAAGGCATAGCTTGAGATTTGACTCAGATCTTCTAGGAATAAGTGACCTCCTGATAATCTACGGACTTTGAGAAAAGCAGTAGAGTTTAGATATAGGCATGTTTTAACTCATTTGTTATCTATTGGCACCTTCTCCTAAAAAATAAAGTAGACTCTTTAATGGTATTTCAGTGGAGCAAGAGGGGAAATGCTTATCCCAAAGATACAGACTAAGAATAGTCATTGCAAATGGGTGCTAAATTTAACTCTGATAATCCATGCAGTTAAGACTAAAAGAGAGACAGGCTCTCTGACTTTGAGACTATCATTTAGTCTCTCCGATCTTAGTTTGCTCCTTTGTAAAGATTCATGGTTGTGAGTGGCACAGGGTAGTATACACACAGCGTTTAATGATTCTAAGGCACTGTGAGTGCTCCATAATGTCAGCTATTAGTAACTGTCATAGGAATTCTGGAGCTACCTCCCTGAGAGGGGCTGAGCGTCAGTGCTGACTGCAGTCCAGTACAGGTTCTCTGTGTCTGCTATAATGGGACATCTGTTTCTTTCACAGTGGCCTGTTCTACAGCATCTTCACAGACCAGCTGAAATGCAACCTTAGTGTGATCAATCTGGATCCCGAGATCAACCCCGAGGGGTTCTGTATCCTCTTGGACTTTATGTACACATCTCGGCTCAATCTGCGGGAAGGCAACATCATGGCTGTAATGGCCACAGCTATGTACCTGCAGATGGAGCATGTTGTGGACACCTGCCGGAAATTTATCAAAGCCAGGTAAGCTGCCACTTAGGTGGGAGGCATGGAGAAAGAGGGGGGGATTCCTGATCAGCAGCGCTTACTAGGCATAGGTATTTGGTGCTGTGGTTAAGATGCCACTGGGATGCCTGCATCCTGTATCAGATTGCCCAGGTTCAAATCCAAGCTCAGCCTCCCATATAGTTCCTTGCTAATGACATCCTGGGAGGAAGTACTTGAGTTCCTGCCACCCATATGGGAGACCCAGATGGAGTTCCTGAATCCTAGATTCGGCTTGACCCAGCCCCAGCTATTTCAGGCATTTGGGGAACGAATCAGCTGATAGGAGATCTCTGTCCATCTTCTATCTCTGTCTCTCTGCCTTTCAAATAAAAATGAAAATTAATACTTTTTTTTAAAAAAAGAAACCCTTAATAATGCATATGTACAAAAAAAATAGTCCTCCAAGGTATGTTGCAACCTGCATTCCCAGTGTTACTACATGCTTCTGCCCGTCTTAACTCTGTGCTCCAAGCAGACTTGACTCCTTGTTGCTCTCCAGACATGACCTGTGCATAGCTCTCTCCCATTAGCTTCCCATGGCACCCATCCTGGGTAGTCGCACTTAGATGCTGGCTAGCCCTCTCCCTTCCTCTTCTCTTCCTGTGTTCTGAGGGATTGTGTCTGTCCTTGAGACCTTCCTTTTATTTTAGTGTTTGCCTATATTTTTTAGTTTTTCTTTACGCTTCTATTATGACTAGTTACCTATGTGCCTTCATTGCCTGCCAGACGATGGATGGTTCAGGGTTATAGGCACTGCTTAGTCATCATCTCTGCTATTCTGTCCTCCAAGGAGGACATTTGTTGAATAGAATGAGTTCACTGGTCTAACGCCCTACCTGAGGGCTGGCAAAGCATGACTATCATTTAAAGGTCCAAAGAATTAAAAGAACTTTGCTAAGCGGGACAGAGATTCAGGGCTTAATTTTTTGAAAACCCTTTGATTCAACTGTTGTAGGACAATTGCCTCCTTTCAGATGGGTTTTGGCCTATGTTTGAACACCTTCTGGAGACAGAAACTCAGTGTTCCCAGAGCCCCATGGCCTTGCTTGGACCTTTAGAAAGCTCCTCTGTATGATGCATTGACCTCTGGTTCCTTTAGCCTTCACTTATGGGTTCTAGCTCTGTTAACTGTGATCCTGATGAGCTGGCCTGCTCTTCACCCACACAGTGTCCCTTCAAGTATGTGCAGCCAGTGCTCTTGTCTCCTGTGGCTGCTGATAGTCATGAGAACATTACTGCTGTCATTTAGGAGGACTTTCTATGGAGTAGTCTTTGAACTTGACTGGTTAAGTAACTTGCTCCAGGTCATAGAGCTACTAAGAGGCCAATCTGGGGTAGTAAACCAGGCCTGGCTGTTCCAGGGTCAAGGCTTCCTCTCTGGAGCTTGCTCTCTGTTTTCCGTCATACCCTTCCCTGTGACTCCAGCCAGCCTATGGGCAAGTCCTTTCTTTATAAGGTACTAGATGTCCAATGTTGTGGCCCCAGCACTGCATAAATTCTTCCCTCTCTGATTCCTGTGAAATGGAGACAATAGTACCTCCCTTTCCTTCCTTGCAGGATTTTGCATGGGTGAAATGAGATAAGGGCTTTAAAAGCATTAAGTAAGTGAGAAAATTCTATCACATTGGAGAAGTTATAGATTCATAGGCACGCATACATATATGCCTTAAGCACATGAGTTCATGTCCAGTTAGGCACAAATTCTGTGAGTAGCTCACTTCCCTTCTCTGGGCTTAGTTTCCCCTACTGTAAAGTAGATTGCGAGACTTTTTTTTTTTTTAATGTTTTATTTATTTGAAAGGCAGAGCAACACAGAGATAGACGGAGTGGGAGGGTGGTAGAGGGGAGAAAGAAAGATCTTCCATCCACTGGTTCACACTCCAAATGGCCACAATGACCAGGACTGGTCAAGGAAGAAGCTAGGAGCCTGGAATTCTATCCTAGTCCTCCACATGGGTGCAGGAGCCCAAGCACTTGGGCTATCTTGTATTGCTTTCCTGGGCGTATTAGCAGGGAGTCAGCTCTGAAGTGGAGCAGCTGAGACTCAAAGCAGCACTCTGATAAGGGATGCCAGCGTCATCCACAAGCTGTGGCTTAATGCACTGTGTCACAGAGCCAGCCCCATAGATTGTGTGACGTCATGAAGGTGTCATGCTGGTCCTTCTAGTCTCTGGAGCCACATTCCCTGCATCTCGTTGCCTCGGTTACCTGACAGTGCTGCTGGGAGGGCGTCTCCTGAGCAGTGCTGACCCGGGGCCCCGGTCCCTTCTGTCTTTCCTGCCACAGTGAAGCGGAGATGGTGCCTGCCCTCAAGCCTCCTCGTGAAGAGTTCCTCAACAGCCGCATGCTGATGCCCCACGACCTCATGGCCTACCGTGGCCGGGAGGTAGTGGAGAACAACTTGCCGCTGAGGAACGCCCCTGGGTGTGAGAGCAGAGCCTTTGCCCCCAGCCTGTATGGTGGCCTGTCCACACCCCCCGCCTCCTACCCCATGTACAGCCACCTGCCGGTCAGCAGCTTCCTCTTCTCCGACGAGGAGCTGCGGGACGCCCGCATGCCCATGGCCAACCCCTTCCCCAAGGAGCGGGCCCTCCCCTGCGACAGTGCCAGGCCCATGCCTGCTGAGTACAACCGGCCGGCCCTGGAGGTATCCCCTGGCGTGTGCCACAGCAGCATCTACTCACACTCACCCAAGGAGGCGGTCCCAGAGGAGGCTCGGAATGACATGCACTACAGCGTGGCTGAGGGCCCCAAGCCGGCTGCCCCCTCGGCCCGGAATGTCCCCTACTTCCCCTGTGACAAGGCCGGCAAAGAAGAAGAGAGGCCCTCCTCAGAGGATGAGATTGCACTGCACTTCGAGCCCCCCAATGCGCCCTTGAACCGGAAGGGTCTGGTCAGTCCCCAGAGCCCCCAGAAATCCGACTGCCAGCCCAACTCGCCCACAGAGTCCTGCAGCAGCAAGAATGCCTGCATCCTCCAGGCCTCTGGCTCCCCGCCAGCCAAGAGCCCCACCGACCCCAAAGCCTGCAACTGGAAGAAATACAAGTTCATTGTGCTCAACAGCCTCAACCAGAATGCCAAGCCGGAGGGGCCCGAGCAGGCTGAGCTGGGCCGCCTGTCCCCACGAGCCTACACGGCCCCAGCTGCCTGCCAACCGCCCCTGGAGCCCGAGAACATTGACCTCCAGTCCCCGGCCAAGCTCAGTGCTGCTGGGGAGGATTCCAGCATCCCGCAAGCCAGCCGGCTCAACACCATCGTCAACAGGTGATTTCCGGGGCGGCTTGCATCTGAGGGCAGGCAGTACCTGGGCAGGCTTTTGGGCTCAGTTCTTTGGCTGTAATCTTTTCTCACATGAAATGCTGAGCCTCTTAGCAGTATGGGATCGGTGCCTATGGATTGAATTAGCCAACGTAAGGAAGTGGGTTGTGCTTCAATATGTTTTTTCCTAATGGGGCAGGGGGGAGTTCTCTTCTACACTTGATCTTAGCCAAAAGGCCGAGAAGCGATAGGGAGTTCTCTTCTATGGCAGAATAACATTCCACAAATCCCAGTGGTCCTGATGTGGCAGCAGGGGACCCTCATACCTTCCTTGCACTGGGAGTGGCTGTGGGCTGCAGTACCAAGGGGAGACACTGAGACTGGGAGTGGGGTTTGGGCTCGGTTTGACCCTGGTCAATGATCTCCCTGCAGGTGCTGATTGGAGGTAGCTTGCGTTGACCCTGGGGCCCCAGAGCCATAGTTGGAGAGCTCAGCTCTGACTTCTGGGCTTGCCTGGGCACAGCGGGGAGAGGATGGCATTGAGCTCAGGTGGAAGGCTCCGCCCTCTCCGCCCTACCCCATACTGAGCCTTTCCTTCCTCCTGCCCACAGGTCCCTGACGGGCTCGCCCCGCAGCAGCGGTGAGAGCCACTCGCCTCTCTACATGCACCCCCCTAAGTGCACCTCGTGCGGAGCTCAGTCCCCGCAACATGCCGAGATGTGCCTGCACACCGCCGGCCCCACGTTCCCCGAGGAGATGGGCGAGACCCAGTCTGAGTACTCGGACTCCAGCTGCGGTGAGTTCCCTTGCCAGGGAGAAGGGGCGCCCCTGCAGGCCGGAGGTTTAGTGTTTCCATTGTATTGACAGTCTCGGACTGGGAGAAGTGGCCTGCTGGAAGTCCATGGCATGTTTGGAAGTCGCCAACCCAACACCCTGCTCTTCACCTCTTAGGGAACTGGGATGACCTAAGCGAGGGATGGGCTCAGAGAGTTCATTCGGGGTAGTGGACACAGGCCAAGCAGTCTTTGGCTCTTCTTTTCAGCAATGGTAGCTTGTGTGGCAGCCTCTGAGTACCCACACTATTGCCACTGATTTGTATGTAGAATAGTTCTCCCTGCATCCGCTACCAGCCCTGGGAAGCATCTAGCATGGAGCAGGACTCGGGAAATGTTAGCTGAGTTAAGTGAGTTTAACTGCATTCTTAAACTGACGTTTCTAGATAGTCAGTGCCTGGCACCCCCTTTTTTTTTTAACCAGATAAAAAAATCTGTTACCCCAGCATTGGCTACAGTAACGCTCAGCTAGCCCAGGAGGGCCTAATCAGAGCTAAATCACCACTATATGTTCTTTGCCAATCATTATAATGAAAGAAAAAAAATCCACTTGCCTATACCAAGAGGCTTGCCGTGGGGTCACGGGACAGCTCCCCCTGCCCCCTGGCGGTTTGCCATGATCTGCCTGGCTTCCGGCGCTCCGGGCCTCTGCTTCCACATCCACCATCACCTTTGGTCTTCCGGTCACACCAGAGTTTTCTAAGGGCAGGAAGTCCAGATGTGCAAGTATGGACTTGCGTGTGTTTTGTTCTGTGTTGTGTAAGATGCCCTTGTAAGGTGTGCAGGACTTTGGAGACAGAGGCACGGAACGTGCTCAGGGGCTTGCCCTGGGGCCTCCTGCGTCTGAACGTAAATAAAACTAGACCCCCGCCCCCACGAGGAAAGGCGGATCCCCGAGCTCTCGGTTGAGGGCAGAGCTCTACTGAGCCTTCCTGGGATGGTGCGGGCAGCAGGAAGCCCTCTGGTTGAAGCTTCCCTTCTGTTCTGTGGTAGCCAGTCCGTCTGCCGTCTCCAGCCTCTGTGACCAATGCCCAGAGCGCTCAGAAAAATAAACTCCCCACAGGGCTTTGGCTTAGGGTTCCCTCGAATGTTGGGTGGGAGGTGGTCTGGGGGCTCGGCTGTGCGCGGAGGGGTGGCTACAGAGGAGAGAGGCCTTCGAGCCCTCCCTGGCTTGCTCATGCTGACCGTGGCATCCCCTCCTGTCCGTCCCACAGAGAACGGGGCCTTCTTCTGCAATGAGTGTGACTGCCGCTTCTCCGAGGAGGCCTCACTCAAGAGGCACACGCTGCAGACCCACAGTGACAAACCCTACAAGTGTGACCGCTGCCAGGCCTCCTTCCGCTACAAGGGCAACCTCGCCAGCCACAAGACGGTCCACACGGGTACGGCGCCGCCCCGCCCACCTCAGCTCGCCTGCATTCTTGGGGGCAGAAGAGGGAGATAGCTGTAGAGAAAGTTGGGGGTGGCCGTGGGACCCCGGAGTGAGGCAGGGAGCAGGAGCGCCTTCACCCTGTCTGGTGGTCACCTCGGGACGTGGCCCATGCCTGCGCTCCTTACCTTTCCTCTTGGGGGTCCTGCCCGTGCTGGGGTCCCACTGTACAGGGTAAGAAGGCAAAGTGGGTTAGGTTTTGGCAAAGCTAGAGACACATTAAAGGTCTCTTGATTTCCTCCAAGCACTCGCTCCTTGTCCACGCCCACTGCCTCACCACGTGTCCCTTAACCCGACTGCTGCCCTGGGTTTCCTCTCCCTGGACACTTTTCGATGACTTCATTACCCCAGAAATTTTCCATGGAGGAAGGCTCAGCCCTTCGGTTGGCTTCCTCTGCTGAGCCCGGGCCCCACCCCTCTTGCCAGTGGAATCCAGCTGGAGTTGCCACAGGCGGAAATGGGTGTTTGCTCTGAAAGGGAGAGAGTGCAACAGCTGCTTGTGTCTCCCAGGCAGCAAGCTGTCGAATGAATCAGACTTATGTCCCGAGACAGCTGCAAGAGCCTGCCCAGGTCATCGGCATCAGCCCCTCCGGGTCCAGAGAGGGAAACTGAGGCTCAGGGCCGTAGATGGACTTGTCCACGTCCCACAGGCAGAGGGGCCTCATAGCCAAGCTGCCTCTAAGGGGACGATCCCCTCCAGTGTCCCACGTGGTGACTCCACCTTGCTGCTGCTTGCGTCCCTGGTCTCATGCAAAGGGTGCTGGTGTGTGAAAGAGGAGGAGAAGGAAGGAGAAAGCCCAAGTGGCTTCAGTGAGGGACAGCTTGCTTTGAAATGCAGGGGCCTGGGATGGTGGCACTGTCCCCACTGAACACGGCTTTCCTTCTCCCCTTTCTCTTGGCAACAGGTGAGAAACCCTATCGTTGCAACATCTGTGGAGCTCAGTTCAACCGGCCAGCCAACCTGAAAACCCATACCCGAATTCACTCTGGAGAGAAGCCGTACAAATGCGAAACTTGTGGAGCCAGATTTGTGCAGGTGAGCAGGGCTCTGCAGCTCACAAGGGGGCTGCTGGGAGGTCTGCAGCCCACCCACCACAGGTGCTCATACCTTGCCTGTCCATGCAGGTGGCTCACCTCCGTGCCCATGTGCTCATCCACACTGGCGAGAAGCCCTACCCCTGTGAAATCTGTGGCACCCGGTTCCGGCACCTTCAGACACTGAAGAGCCACCTGCGAATCCACACAGGAGAGAAGCCGTACCATGTACGTAAGCGTCTTAAGACACTGGCCAGCCTGGGAGGGTGGGGGAGGAGGTGGAAGGTGGGGCCACACAAGTGGAGCTGGGAGGGGTTCCAATCTCAAGCACACAGTGGAATGACTGCTGAACTAATGGTCGGAAGACCAGGATCTGAGCCTGATAGGCCCAGGTTTCCGTGTGCTTCTCTTTACAATGGGGCTACAGATCTTGGAAAGAAAGTCCAGACTAGGGATGCATAGATTTAGAGATCATTCATTTATTGCACAAATATTTATTGAGAGCCTACAGCTCTTGTGGTCTGGAGGTGTATTTGAGAAGAGTTAAGGTGATTGAGAAAGAATTGTCTTAGGAGTAAAGAAATGTTGTAAGGAAAAGACAAACAGAAAGGCCATCTTGAGGAAGGGGAGGTGCCCAGCTGGGTAGCACAATGCCATGGATAGGCCACTGGGATTGTCATGTTCTAGAGCAAGGTCTTGGCAACTACAGCCTGTGAGCCAATTTATGACCATTCCATGGGCAAAAAAAAGGGTTTCTATACTAAAAGAAAACAACCAAGGGCAATATTCTGTGACCTGTGCACACGCTAGGGGACTTAGAGCCCAGTGTCTGTAAGTGGAGAGTTGTTAGAATTCAGTGCACATCCACGCTCATCGGCCCCCACATTGCCAGGATGGCTTTGAGGAGTTTGTGGCTTCACCCTAGGTGATGATGGGCACAGGAAGTGATCAGCAAGTGGCTAACTCACAGTGCAGGTGTTAGCCTGAAGAGCAGGGTTATTTTTATTCACTTGTTTATCCTGCTTTGAGTGATGCCATCTTCCTTACTGTTGGTGCTTGGGAAAATTCGTTGTCCTCTTTGTCATTTCCTCACCTGTAAAACCAACCTCAGAGTAGTGCCTGCCTGATGGAGGGATAGTATCAAGTTCACTAGTTCATTCAAGCCCACTGTTAAGAATGGACTAAATCTCTATTCTAAGGGCTTGCTGGAATTTTGGCTGGGTATCAGAGCTGAGAATGATCTTTGGTGTCTATTGGCCCAGTCCCTTACAGAAGGAGAGTCCAGGCCCAGAGACAGAAGCGACGTGGGGGACACACAGCAGTGGGTGACATAGATACAAGAGCAGGCCGCTCTACTCGCGGTCATGCTCCATTTATTTGCTTTTCTAAATCTGTTTCCATTTTCACTTTAAATATATTCTCTATGTGAGCATGTTTTATAATAGTTTTAATTTTGGAATAGATTTGGATTTATAGAAAAGTTGAGACTGTACAGAAAGTTCTCAGATGCACCAGGTTCTCCTAGTGCTAACATCTTACTTAGTGTCATGTGTTTGTCACAAGTTGTGAACCAGTGCTGAAACATGATTATGAATTAAGTCCATACTTTGAATTGTCTGAATTTTTACCTACGATACCATTTTCTTGGGGTCCAGGATCTCATCTGGATTGACTCCATTACATTTTCTCATCCATTTTACTTTTAAGTAACTTTTCCACTAAAACTATTATTACCCATCCGTTGAATCCAAGTGAGGATAGTAGAATTGCTAATGGTTCATTAACTTTTCTGGGAAGCCGACACTCTGCAAAGGACTCTAACTACATTTTAAAAGATATACCCTAGAATTGAAATTTTTCATGACATCAGGCTAATGTAGTCCAGTTGCCCAAATGTGTTCAGATTTATTGCATAATTAGTATATTCTGCTAGACAGAGGGAAGATGGCAGAGCATAATGAGAGTGCTCACTGACCTCCGAGTGGTGTCCACGTGACGGGGGCATCAGTGCACCAGGATGGCTGTGTGGCAAGCCTAGATCTCACAAAAGTTCAAAGGAAAGGGGTTATTTGCAGGCTAGAGCAACTCAGGAAAACCTGAGCAATTAGGTTGCATCTGATTGGCCTTTGGGTGTTGAACTTGTGGAGTAAGGCAGGGAAGAGACGTGTTAGCATGATGCCTACTTTCCTGTAGCAGAGGCTGCACGCTCTCGGGTTCCTAAGCTGGCCTTTGGGAGGGGAGAGCTGGCCCAGTCTCCCACAGGGGCAATCTCTGAGCAGTGGCGTGCGTCTGGGTTGACGGCAGCTAATGGGTGGCCTCTCATGTCCCTCCAGTGCGAGAAGTGTAACCTGCATTTCCGCCACAAAAGCCAGCTGCGACTTCACCTGCGCCAGAAGCATGGTGCCATCACCAACACCAAGGTACAATACCGAGTGTCGGCCACCGAGCTGCCTCCGGAGCTGCCCAAAGCCTGCTGAAGCATGGAGTGCAGCGCTTCCTCTCCAGCCCCTTCGCAGAACCTACCCAAAGGATACTGTAACACTTTACAACGTCATCCCTTGATGCAGTGCCTCTTTCATCCACTAGTGCAAATCATAGCTGGGGGTGGGGGTGGGGGGCGGGGCCGGGGGCGGGGAGCCGTGGCGCTCCCCCTGCCCCCACTGCCATAAAACATTAAGAAAATAATATTGCTTCTTCTCCTGTGTGTAAGGCGAGCCACGTCAGCACAAAGCAGATTCATTTTATATATCAGAGCGGGGAGTACGCAGAGTCCTGACTTGACTTGGTCTACAAAATGGGGAATGTGTATGTTTTGTGGGAACAGATGTTTCTTTTGTATGTAAATGTGCATTCTTTTAAAAGACTAGACTTCAGTATGTTATCAAAGAGAGGGCTTTAATTTTTTTAACCAAAGGTGAAGGAATATATGGCAGAGTTGTAAATATATAAATATATATATATAAAATAAATATATATAAACCTAAAAAAGATATATTAAAAATATAAAACTGCATTAAAGGCTCGATTTTGTATCTGCAGGCAGACACGGATCTGAGAATCTTTATTGAGAAAGAGCACTTAAGAGAATATTTTAAGTATTGCATCTGTATAAGTAAGAAAATATTTTGTCTAAGATGCCTTGGTGTATTTGTATTTTTTTGCAAGTGAAGGTTTACAATTTACAAAGTGTGTATTAAAAAAAACACAAAAAAAAGCTGCAGAAGGAAAACTGTGTAATTTCGTTCTAGTTTTCAGTTTGTATATACCCGTACCACGTGTCCTCCCGGTGCCTTTTTTCACAGAAGTTTTCAATGATGGGCGAGTGCGCGCCGTCCCTTTTTGAAGTGTAGGCAGACACAGGGACTTGAAGTTGTCACTAACTAAACTCTCTTTGGGAATGTTTGTCTCATCCCATTCTGCGTCATGCTTGTGTTATAACTACTCCGGAGACAGGGTTTGGCTGTGTCTAAACTGCATTACCGCGTTGTAAAATATAGCTGTACAAATATAAGAATAAAATGTTGAAAAGTCAAGTTGCCTTGTTTTGGAGGTTTTTCCTTGGGTTGGAATGGGACTTTTTTTTTTTTTTTTTTTTTTTAAGATTTACTTGTTTGATTTGAAAAGCAGAGTTACAGAGACAGAGGGAAGAGAAGAGATCTTCCATCTGCTGGTTCACTCCCCAGATGGCTGCAGCAGCCAGAGCTGGGCCAGGCTGAAGCCAGGAGCCAGGAACTCCATCCAGGTCTCCCACTTGGGTGGCAAGGACACAAGTACTTGGGCCATCTTCGGCTACTTTCCCAGGCACAGTAGCAGAGAGCTGGATTGGAGGCAGGGTAGCCAGGACTCAAACCAACGCTCCATATTGGGATTTGGCGTTGTGGGGACAGTGACCTAACAGGCTGGGCCCCAGCACGGGCCCTGGGAGGGGCTCTTGAATGGAGCTGGTGTCCCCACTTGACCATGGGACGTGCTCTGGCCCGAGAGGCCGCTGCTTCCTGTCAGACCTGCCTGGAGCTTGTCCCTGGTAACTTGGCACAGAGCTGCACTGGACTCCCGGCGTGACAGCAGAGACCCTGGCCAGGAAGAAGTCAGGTGGGGGGTTTGGGTGGACCACCCACTCAACTCAAGGCTGAGCTTTGGATGACTTCAGTCCTCACTCTCCTGACAAATTACACTCGAGTTTGCTGCCCCTCTGGGCTCAGGCTGCCCACTCTGTGGGGTGAGAAGGCTCCCCCCACCCCTGGCTTCGTAACCCATCTGTGTCTGGTCAGCTCCATGGAGCAATGAGAAGGCATCTGGCCCCAGTCCTACATTCCCTGGCCTTGGTGCCTCTGCAGTCTTTCTGGGGTCTGCTGGGCGACTGACAGACGTCTGTGGGCTCAGAACAGCTGGGCGCCACCAAGCCAGCGTCCACCCCCTCCCAAGAACCCTGCTGAGGTAGCCTGCCATCGCCTGTGTGACCTGGGTCAGCTCTTTCCCTCCCAGGTCCCCTTGCCAACCTGTCCGGGGGCAGCCCGGGCTAACCAGCACCCTGCTGACCCCATGATGGAGACATACGTCCACCCCGGCTTGCTCTGGCAGCCAGTTCAACTTTTCCTCAGGAAACCCCAAGGATCAAGTCTGACGGGCAGGACCTGAGCCCTGGGGGACGAGTGAGGTTCTGCCTCAGGCCAGAGGAGAAAGTGTGCACTCTGCCTCCTGTTCCTCAGTAGCGGTGGGGAGGGTGTGGGAAGTGCAGCCTTCCCCCAGGGCCCCAGGAGGGGCACTGGGTGGACCTGGTGCCCTTGGCAGTGCCCCTGCAGCAGGCTCCGAGCACGTGCCCGGAAGCCCAATGGGAACCCAGCACGCAAAGCCCCGAGAGAACCTCAGAGGATCTCGCCACCGTCTGCCAGCTGCGTGGCCTTTCAGCTCAGGTTTCCTTTGAAAATGACTTTAAAGGACTTGCCAGCTCGAGGCCTCAACTCACCCTGCTCTTTGAAAAGGGAGAAAATGATCCCTTGACTCCCAAAGAAACTTGGCAAAAGAACAGAGAAAACAGCCAGCTCCAGGAATGACAATTCACAGGCCCCAGGGAGGCTGGCCCCAGGATCCCTCTGCTCCCAGAGAGCCTCCAAGCTGTGTTTCATGGAGAGGCTGGGGGGACCGGTTGGGGCAGACAGTGCAGGTGGCAAACAGACCAGAGGGCCCATCACAGAGTAGCTGCAGCCAATCGGTCAGTAATCAATAATAAGTAAAGAGAAAGTGTCTCTGAACAGAGGAAAAGCGTCAGCAAACAGAATGTAGAATTTTGCGGCAGAAGCATGATGTGAATGCAACTTTTCAGCAACACAAGGGGTCTTCCAAAAGTGCATGGCGAAAAGCAGACAAAGTGTGCATGCTTTCCAAGCCTTTGGTGGACCCCCATAAGCTCCATGTTTAATTCCATTTTCCCGTGAACTTTCTGAAGTTTCTGAAAGAAGGTGCATGTGACCTCCTCTGCATCGTGGGATTTTTTATAGGGATATTTGTGAGGACCAGAATGTATATAGGGGGTTGGCTTGGAGAGGCGGGTGGTCAGCGTCAAGAAATCGGTTTTGCAGCTGGAAGGAGGCATGATAAGGATCACCTGGTTCGAATCCTTCATCTGCCCTTGAAGGGGCTGAGGCTCCACAGCTGGCACCCAGAGAGGGGGCCGGAAAGGAGAGGTGGCACGCCTGACACCACACCAAGAATTTTTGTTGGCGAGATCACCTGCCTCCCCGTCAGGTTTGTAACATGGACCCAGCTCTCAAGAGTTTGTGGTCGAACTGGGAAAATAAAACGTGGACACATAGCAAAGGAAAATCACAGAGAAACGCCAAAAGATGGTAAATTGTGTCTAATAAATGAAGTTCCCAAGATGCAGGCACCTTGTGTAGGGGTGTGCTCAGCATCACGAGTGGTTCTTGCAGGACAGTGGCTGGAGGGCAGCTGCCGAGCTGGTGGCCTGCAGAGACTGGGCACCCCAGGGGCCTGAAGCACTGTGCACTTTGTCTGTGGGGCTGCAGCTCTCCATTCAACTGGATAGAGCTGTCCTCCTGGGTGCCACCAACAGGGACCCCCTCTGGAGGTGTGTGGGTTTGTGAGGGCTGCAGCGATCACCTAAGGACACAGTGGCTCAAATGACAAAGTGCTCTGTCTCCCGGTTCTGAGATCCAGGTGTCGGTGGGGTTGGTTCCTTCTGAGGGCTGGGAGGAGAAATTTGTCTTGAGCTTCTTGCCCTGGCTTTGGGTGGCTTCCTGGCACATGACATTCTCCCTGCATTGTGTCCCTGTCTCCAAATTCTCCCTTTTGCAGGAGGACACCAGTCACATTGAACCAAGGCACCCATACTAATGAGCTCGTCCTAACCAAGTATATCTGCAATGGCCCTGTGTCCACACGATGACAGATCCTGAGGCCCCACACAGTTAAGACTGCAACACATGAGTTGGGAAGGGGACATCACTCAGTTCATAGCAGAGGTTGGCTATGGCAGGAGGGGTGGAGAAATGCATCAGAAGTGGCGCTACCACCACCCGTTCTCCACCTTTTCTCCCAGCTGCTGATGGTCCAGGGAACTGGATGGGGAGGGCTCTCATCACCAGCCAGGCAGCACCACACCCATGACCCAGAGGTCATCTTCCCAAGAATCCACAGGGCTGGCTTGCTCTCCCTTTGCCCGACGAGGAGAAGGAGGTGCAGAGAGGCAAGTGTTTGGCCATGATTGAGTGGGGCTTCTCTTCTTCCTCTTCCAGCTAGTTCTGTCTTTTACGTCCCTGGTGGGTCTCGGCACAGCAGAGCACATAGAAGACAAAGTGACTGCCCGGCAAGTGACCACACTGTGGTTATGCAGACGGGAGGAAAATCCAGGCCCAGGTGGGCTCTATAGAATAGGAATTACTAATGACTTGTTTACAAGGGCCACAAAAGGCATCATAAAAATTCCCATCAAGACTACAGACTAAGGTTTTATCATCTTTTGAAAAATCATGGAGTGTTTGACTTTACCCCAGTGATACTTGAATGTAGTAGTTCTCTACTATAGGGAGATTTTCTTCTTTAATTTGAAGATTTATTTATCTTGAAAGAGTTACACAGAGAGAGGTAGAAACAGAAAGACAGAGAGAGAGAGAGAGAGAGAGAGAGAGACTTATCTGTTGGTTCACTCCCCAGAAGGCCCCAAAGTCCAGAGTCGGGCCAAGCTGAAGCCAGGAGCCAGGAGCTTCATCTGGGTCTCCCACATGGGTGGCAAGGGCCCAAACACTTGAGTCATCTTCCATTTCTTTTCCTAGGCCATTAGTAGGGAGCTGGATCAGAAGTAGAGCAGCCAGGACAGGAACTGAAGCCCACATGGGATGCTGGCATCCCAGGTGGCAGCTTAATCCACTATGTCACAATGTTGGCCACCATAGGGAGCTTTTAAACATCTGAGTGCCTGCGGCCCAGGAGATGCTAACGTGCAGCCAGAGGTGAGGATCTAATCTACCTCATCCATCACACAGAAGAGGAGGCCCAGTGACAGTAAACGATGTCCTATAAGGACTAGGTCACAGCTCTGCAAACGCTTGTGCTGGGGTATCTGCTCTAAAATCTTCACCTTATACCACCATGATTTCCTATTTCCAGAAATGAGAGCCTTCTTCATATGTCTTTACACACCTGGTCAATTCTTTGACCCTAGGGAAAAATTTCGGATGGTGAGGGCTGAATGGGCAGGACTCAACTTGAAAGAGTAAAGGATTCCCAGGAAGATTACAAATGTGATGAGCATCTGAGTTCATTCCTGTTGATCTGTAAGTGCTAGAAACACAGTGAGCTGGCAATGACATTGGGAGAGGGTTGGACACGAAGGTTCCAAGGTCTCTGTTGAGCTTGAGATTCTCTAAGGTCTTACACTATTTGATCATGAGAAGACATGAGGAGGTGGATGAGTCCCCTACTATGAGACTTTTTTTAAGCACCTTATTTATTTATTTGAGAGGCAGAGTTACAGAGGGAGAAGGAGAGACAGAGAGAGAGAGGTCTTCTATCTGCTGAAGGGCACAGTTATGGGGTTTTTGAGGTTAGGCAGTTGTAACCCAGGGGCCAGATTCTGTTCATCTCTGTTTCCTTTTTTCGTCAGCATACCTTGGCTTAGGGTTTCTGGTATGTCCTTTTGTGATAGTGAGACAGTCCCTAGCGTCCCATCATTTCTGCCTGGAGTACTTTACCCTCTGGTCACCACTTTCCAAACCTACCAGGCTGCAGTGTCTGTGCACACCATGCCCTCTGCCTAGCATGTTCATGTCCTCATTTTGCCATCTCTCTGAGAAGACCATGCGTTTCCTCAGCCTGGACAATTGTGAGCACTGTTCAGGCTTGTTGAGTGAGGGCATGAGCCAGGGAGTGTGTGATTAAAGGTTCCAGTTCCTGTGTACAAGGGCCCTCTTGTTGGCGCTCATTCCACTAGTGCAGTCTAGGAAACAGCCACAAGATGGCAGGGTTGACCAAGCAAAGGCAGAGGGCATGGTGCCACTTCAGGGGAGTAGGAAGA